CCCGGAAAAAAATGTACAGAAATACGCGTCCTGGGTAAGACGATGAACTACATCGGCGTCCAGGGTTATGACGATAAAACACATCCGCGTCCAGGGTATGACGATAAACTACATCCGCGTCCTGGGTAAGACGAAAAACTACGTCCAACAGCAAGGTTTTGAGGAGGGTGGAACCACCTCTTAATAGCTGGTGTTCCAAGGTCCACTTCACCCGGGGTGGTAGCCCCTGTTAGGGTTCCAACTATGCGCAAATAGCTAACCCCCAAACGGGTCAAAACACTATGAAAGCGTAAAAATAGGTTTTAATACCAAAAATAATTTGTCAAAATTCTTATCAGCAATAAATTTTTGAATAAAAAAAAATATTACCAGCAATACATTTTTGAAAAAAAAAAAATTAGCAACAATACTTTTTTGAAAAAAAAAATATTACCAGCAGTACATTTTTGGAAAAAAATATTACCAGCAATACATTTTTGGAAAACATATTACCAGCTATACATTTTTGAGGAAAAAAGTATTGCCAACAATACTTTTTTGAAAAATTTTTGGCTAGCAATATGTTTTTGAAGGAAAAAAATATTACCAGAAATAGATTTTTGAGAAAACAAAATATTACCAGGATAAAAATTTTGTCGGCATTAAATTACTCATTGAGCTTGATATGCCATAAACCAAACCAAACCAAACCAGAAATTCATAATTTCAAAATTTTACTATTTGAAGAAGGATCCAAATAAAATTGATATTTCTGTATTAGATACATTAAATGGAAAATAAATTCTAACATAAATTCTAATTACGAATCACCCCAAGCAAAATATGCATTTTGTACTGTATTCGATAAGTAAAAAAAATGTAAAAGATTATAAAATGTCTACACAGTGTATAAGATTTGTTAGATAATTTGTCAGATCATAATAAAAACGAAAAATAGATATAAGTTTATATAATTCTATCATACTGCTGGGCACAAATTATAAGACAAAATGTTTTAAATCTGCATTGTTTATTGAAAAAATGCACTAAAACTACTGCACTGTATAATATATTACATCATAATATAGCTAAATAGGTTCAGAATAATTCACTTCAAAATAAATGAGGATCTTATATAATGACAGAATGATTTAGTAATATGTGTGGCCTTGCATCTTGTCCATATACAATTTTGAAAGCTTCAGTAAATTATAAATTTTATAAGCTTGTGCTATCAGGCTTTCATTGATCACCGGAATGAAATTCCACCACTACAATTTTTAAACTCATTTCCTCAAAAAAACGGTAACGATTTGGAATTGTTAATCAGAGAACCGAATTCCAAATGCCGTTCGGCTTGTTATATATGCAAATACCATTGGGAAAGGTATAAATCTTCCTCTGCTTCACCTTTCCCAATTATATGTTAATTAGTAGGACTTGTATAAGTAAAATCATTATTATCTCAAAATGTTCTTACAATCTAAAAATATTTTTGGATTTAAATAACCTGAAAAGTCGTAAAAAGTGAATCAACCAACCAAAACCAGCGTTTCTTTATGCTGCTGAGTTCTTTAAAATATAATGTGTGGGAAGAGGAAATTACGATCAAATATTTTATAAAGACTATTTAATATATCTAACCTCCTGAGTTCCTATTAAAACAGTGCATTAGAATTAGACCGGGAAAATGGCAAAAACAATATGGCTTCATTAAAAACACTGGAACAAGAAATGCAATCTTTATGATCAGAATGCTATCAGTGTGAGCAATACAAATGTAGAAATATCTATACTTGTGTTTCATAGACTACACAAAAACATTTGATAAAGTATGATGCAAAATCTATTTGAAATGCTAGGAAAACCTGATTTTTTTGGCAAATAATTCAGATTATATACTGGGAATAAAATGCCGGTATACAGATAGAAAATGAATTGAATAAGTACACCAAAATCGAAAAGGGGCGTAAGACAAGGATGAGTTTTCTTAGCGGATTTATTCAACTTATACAGTGAGTCGATCCTAAGAGAACTAAAAGTACTACCAGGATTTAACACGGAAAGAAACTAGTAGCGAGTGATATATATATATATATATATATATATTAAACAAGTTTTGTTAAATTTGACTCACAATATCCGTTTCATATTTTTCACTCTATTTCCTCAATATTCGAATAAAACAATTTTTTTCGAGAATGTGAGGTTTCGTGTGATTAATGGATAAGCATTGGATATATATAAAGAGAGATGGGCACCTCGACGTGGCGTAATGGTAAGAAAACTTGTCTTGCTAGATCAATTACGACTGAGTAGTGAGTTCGATCCTCACTGGGTGCCCCATACTTTCGGCCTTGTGCCACATCTAAGCCGGGCTTAGAAAATCACTATATATAAAGAGAGAGAGAGAGAGAGAGAGCGAGAGAGAGAGAGAGAGATAAACAGACAGAAACAAAGAGTCGTAACAAGCGGGATAGAAAGGACAGGGTGATTAATATTACAAAGAGAGTGTTGGGAAGATAGTAAACGATAGAGAGAGAAAGAGCAGGAGAAAAAGAAAGGTAAAAAGAAAGATAAGGTCGGAACAAGTAGGAAAAAGAGATGAATTGCGCGAGAAAGAAAGAATACTAGGACATAAAGAACAAGATGGGGTCAAGGGATAGCTTAAAAGAAAGAAAGAATTAATGAAAGACAAAGAAATAAAGTGAATGAGAAAATTGGAATAGAAAATAGATAATGAGTTAGATTAATAAGAGAGGTTTGCAAAGAAAGAAAGTCGGAGAGAGAATGAGAGAATTTTAGGATAGAAAAAGAAACATTAAAGTTACTAACGGTGAGCTTAAAAGAAAGATAGAAAGAAAGAAGGGGGGGAAAGAAAGAAAAAAGAAAGAAGGGGAAAGAAAGGGAGAAAGAAAGAAAGAAAGAAAGAAAGAAAGTCAATGAGAAAATCGGAATAGAAAATGAAGAGCGGGTAACGTAAGATAAAGAAAGAAATAAAAAAAAAACAGCGAGGAAAGAAAGGACAAAGGAAAGAAAAAATAAGAAAAAAGAAAGAAAGAAAGAAAGAAGGGAGGAAAACAAACAAAGAAAGAAGGGGAAAGAAAGGGGGAAAGAAAGAAAGAAAGAAAGAAAAAGTCAAAGAAAAGAAAGAAAAAAGAAAGTCAATGAAAGAAAAAAAAAAAACGGAAGAAAGAAAATGGAGAAAAAAGCGTGTAAAGTGGGAAAGAATGGAAGAAAGAAAAAAAAGAAAGAAAAATGAGAAAATCGGAAAAAAAACAGTAACGTAAGATAAAGAAAGAAATAAAAAAACAGCGAGGAAAGAAAGGACAAAGGAAAGAAAAATAAGGAAATAAGAAAAAAGAAAGAAAGAAAGAAAGAAGGGGGGAAGAAAGAAAGAAAGATGGGGAAAGAATGGAAGAAAGAAATAAAGAAAGAAAGTCAATGAGAAAATCGGAATAGAAAATGAAGAGCGTGTAACGTAAGATAAAGAAAGAAATAAAAAAAAAACAGCGAGGAAAGAAAGAACAAAGGAAGGAAAAAATAAGGAAATAAGAAAAAAGAAAGAAAGAAAGAAAGAAGGGGGGAAGAAAGAAAGAAAGATGGGGAAAGAATGGAAGAAAGAAATAAAGAAAGAAAGTCAATGAGAAAATCGGAATAGAAAATGAAGAGCGTGTAACGTAAGATAAAGAAAGAAATAAAAAAACAGCGAGGAAAGAAAGAACAAAGGAAGGAAAAAATAAGGAAATAAAAAAGAAAGAAAAAAAAAAAGGGGGGAAGAAAGAAAGAAAGATGGGGAAAGAATGGAAGAAAGAAATAAAGAAAGAAATCAATGAGAAAAATCGGAATAAAATGAAGAGCGTGTAACGTAAGATAAAGAAAGAAATAAAAAAACAGCGAGGAAAGAAAGGACAAAGGAAAGAAAAAATAAGTAAATAAGAAAGAAAGAAAGAAAGAAAGAAAGAAAGTGAATGTGAAGATCGGAATAGAAAATGCAGTGTGTGTAAAATTAATAAGGGAAGGATGCAAAGTGAGAAAATAGAGATAAAGAAAGAAAGAAAATAGTAAATAAAGAAAGGAAGAAAGAAGTAAAGTAAAAAGAAAGAAAGAAAGAAAGAAAGATATAAAAGAGAAACAAACATAATATTCGCAGCTGATATATTTTTTGAACGAATATTTTTTCTCCTCATATCTATGATATTGTGCACCAAGCTGACAAGACAACAACAGCAGCAGAAAAAATGTCAGTCATGTTTTCAATATTTCCATTCCTTAGAATCAAGTATTCATTCCTTCATCAATGCATCCTCTTTCTACCATCCATTCTCTATCTTTCTTTTTACATGCCTCTTCCATAAGCTCAAGTGTTTCACTACCACCCACAATCCAGATTATATTCCCGCCCCCAAACAACTTCCATCAGCCATGACTTTCATTTTCTGGATTTTAAGAAACAATTTCGTTCCCGCCTTTTCAGCTGACATGGCGGACGCGGATGTCGTCTGCTCGCCATTGACAATGTCTCGTATGTCAGGTTATCTCTTATTGGCTTCGTAGTTAAGGACTTTTTTTTTTAATGATTTTATTTCTTTACCTTTTATCTGTTTATTCATTTACATGTGTGAATGTTTGTCTGCATGTATCGCCTGTTCAACTCTTTCAAAAAAGAAAAGAAAAAGGGAAAACATTATTTAAAAAATAACCCCGAAAAATAAATAAGTAAGTAAGCAACTCGCAGCGCCGGTAGAAAGATAACACGTCCACTTGGCGATATAGCTGAAGTAAAAGTAAATGAACGAACAAAATAAAAATGGTAGGAAGGTAACTATTCTCGTGGGCATCAGTTGAGATAAGACATATAAAACCCTCGCTTGTAACTGAGCCGCAGTTTTGACAAAACAAAACAAATAAAATAAGAATAAAAAGACAGACAGACAGACAGAAAGGGAAGATAAGAAAGATGTAAAGGAAGAACACGTAAGAATAAAAGAAACTGTAAAACTTTGTAAAAATACTTCTCTTTAAAAAAAGAAAAAGAAAAGAAGGAACGTTATGAATGGTCGAGGAGTAGTATAAATTACGAAGCTTCCAAAAGAAACATGTTCATTTGTGTGTAAGAAAGACAGAAATATAGACAGAAAGAAAGAAGGAAAAAGAAAGAAAGAAACCAGGAAGAAACAAACAGACAAAGAAAGAAAACGTTGAAAAAATAAGAATAAAGAAAAACAAAAAAGAAATAAAATAGAAATACATGATACTTAGAAGAAACACTGAGTATTACCTATTAAGGAAGGGGTACCATTGAAAAGGAAATATTCGTGGCAATGAAATAACAAGAAAGAAAGAAAGAAAGAAAGAAAGAAAGAAAGAAAGAAAGAAAGAAAGAAGACAACGAAAGCAAATCAAAATGGAAGAAAGAAAAATCAAAGAAAGGAATAAGACAAAGGGGGAGTTTAAAAAATAAAAATAAGAAAAAAGAAAGAAAACAAGAGTAAGAAAGAACGAAAACACAGAAAAAAATAATGAAAGCTATGAATGGTCGAGTAGTAGATATTACGAAGCAAGCAAAATGAAAAATATTCATTCGTTTGTAAGATAGACACATAAAAATTGAAGAAAAAAATTGAATATTGAAAATAAAATATATATTTTCTTAATTTTTAATCCGTCATTTTGAACTCCTCTCTTCATCACTGATAAAACAATTTTAATCCGCTGCCCTGAAGTTTTGTTCGTTCTTTTCTGATTTCGACTTTTTCTTTTGCTTTGTTCGTGTAGTTTTTTTTCTCTTTCATCCTTCTACTCATCATGTCTTTCCATTCAATTTCTTTGTTTTACGTTTCTATCTTACAAACGAATGAAGATTTTTTTTCCTTTTGCCTGCTTGATAATTTCTACTACTACTCACTCATTCACAGCTTTGCCTCTTAGTTTTACTATAGTCTTCGTTCTTTCTTACCTTTGTTTCTTTCTTTTTTTTCTTCGTTTTATCTTTTACACGTTCTCTTTTTTTGTTTCATTTCTTTCTTTGTTTATCTTTCTTCCATTTTGATTTACTTTCAATGTCTATATTTCTTTCTTTCTTGTTATTTTTTATTTCATTGCCACCAATATTTTCCTTTCAGTCTCCTTACTCCTTTCTTACTCGGCAATACTCAATGTTTCTTCTACGCATCATTTATTATCATTTTATGTTTTGTTTGTCTTTATTCTTACATTTTTCGGTGTTTTCATTCTTTGTCTGTGTGTTTCTGCCTTTCTTACTTGTTATTTTTCTTTCATGGCAACCTATTTTTTTCTGATTGTACGTCATTTATTTTCGTTAGAATACAAATTTTCATTTTTAGTTTAATTTTTTTATGTATGGTGTGTTTCCTTCTGCATTTTCTTTCTTTCTTTTTATTTTGGTTTCTTTCTATTTCATTTTTGTATTTTTTTTTTTCTATATCACATCGTCATTAGTTTTCTTTCTTTCTTTTTGACATTTGTCTTTTCTTCTTTCTTTTACGGAATGCTTCTTTCTTTTTCTTTTGTCTGTTGGTTTCTTTCTTTCTTTCTTTCTTCCCGTGTTTTGTGCTTCTTTCATTTTTATATTGATGTCATTTCGTCTTGCATTAATGATTTTCCCTCTTTTTTTTCTCCTTTTCGCTTTTCGTAACTTCCTTTTCCATCTTTTTACTTTCTTTAATAATTTCTTCCTTTCTTTATTCCCGTTTCTCTTTCTTTTTTATTTTCGTCTTTTCGGCTTTACTCCTGTCTTTTGATATCATCTTCCTAAAATTTAACTCCATTCTTTCTTTCTTTATTTATTTATTTATTTCACTCTTTCTTTCTTTCTTTGCTTCATTCCTTCCATTCATCCACGCCTATACAACCGATTTAAACAACCACCAAAATAATTTAGGATTAACGCAAATCCGAAACTAAGGCCACCTTGAAAACATCCCTAAATAGAATTAAATGAGGCCAAACAACAACGGCTCACTCGTATCCCATCATCCATAGTTAGAATCCCGAGTTTTTTACCACGTGACTATCTCTATTCAAGATCTCCAGAAATTTCAATTCCTCTCATCGAATTAGTTGTCACCAGACACGTCATAGTCCTCGAAAGACAATTACATCGTTTTGATGTGTCTCTTAATTGGTTTATTAAGATTACGTCTTCTCTCCTGCTGAACGTTTGTTGCGTTTTCTTCTAATTTCTTCTTTTTCCTTGGGCAAATATTTGGGACTTTGTCTTCCTGATTTATCGCAGACCCAATCAGGATGATAACGGATTAGGTTGCTATTAAAAAACAGGCACTAGAATTAATTCTTGATACAACTTGGGATGATGCCGACAGAATTTCAATCAACATTATGCAAGCACAACGCAACCTAACAGAGACAATATACCATAAATACTCAAATATATGTTGAACCAGTTTGCATTGAAAACATCGGAAATATATTGTATTTCCCTTCAAGTATTTCTTTCAACTAAACTAAATAGCATATATATATATATATATATATATATATATATATATATATATATATATATATATATACGAATCTAATGAGAACGAAAACAATATATAAATTCCAACGTTCACCAATTAACTGACATTTTTTAATGCGCATTTTGGGCCCAGACAGGTGTCTTAGGAGTTTATTTATTCCTTATGTTTAATTTCAGTAGTTACCATTGTCATTTTTATAGAAACTAGAACATCATATATATATATGCATAAAACATCAAAAAATAATATTGATTAGAAATAATAAAAAAATACTTTTCAAAATAGTCATTATTTTTCTACTCGTGAAATTTAAAATTACGACAGAAAGTGTCTTCTGACGGCTAATAATAAAAAGAAACTTTAAAGGCTAAGTGTTGTAAAATATGCAATGTATGTAAGTAATTTCATGTAAATACAAGGAATAACATGTAGTGAGTTTAATTTTAACAGATCCCCAAATGGGGCTCATGGCAAGTAATAGGTTAATTCAAAAGAGGGCTCAATACTGATAGTAGAGCAATAAATTATTATAATTTTTTCGTATAGACAAAAACCTTTGACCGTTGTTGTCGAAAAGAAATTTTTCAGGTTTAGCCATTACTTTAACACTTCAACCATCCTTCACCAAACTACTATCAATAAGCACTATTGTTTCACTCCATCACCTTTTTTGCCTTTATGTTTTTTTTCAAACAAAAGGAGAAAAGGAAGTGACGTTCCACACGCGCCTTGCTTATAAACAGAATTGTCCATAACCAATTTGGTTCTCACCAGTCGAAGTACAATTTAAATGCACTGAAACGAAGTTGCCCCTTTGTAGTTTTTGTCTATATGAAAAAAATTTTAATATATATATATATATATATATATATATATATATATATATATATATATATCTTTGAATGTTAACTAGCATCCTAGCATACAAAAATTCGATAGCTGCATTCGTCACAAGTGGGAAAAATTTAAATCTGCATGGCACTTTACTCCAATTGGCTCATTCGCTTGCTTAAACTCAACGTTGATTCTGATTCCGCAGAACTGGGTTGGGTGTGAAAAAGTATTTGTTGTTAACATTCTTTTTTCATTCGGTTTTTCCAGTTACGAGTCCTTTTTAAAGCTGGTCGGTTTGTGTTCAATTTTATCTAGTTCTTTTTTTTGTAACAGATTTAATGTTTAGTATAGAGCTTAGAAAAATTCGCAGTGTGAGATAGGCAAGAAGTAAGGCATGTAGCAACAACAGCACGGCAAAGGGCACTCCTTTAAAGGCAAGGAAAGGCAAAAATATTTTAAGTCAAGTGATAGTGATTCTGTATGAGTCGTACGATTTTTGAATCAAGCACGGGCAACGCCGGGCCATGCTGCTAGTTTCCCTATATGTGACCAAATGACAGAAAATCAGAATTTATTGGAAAAAGGCTTAATGGTCAGTCGATAACTTTTCACCACGCAACGAGCAAGAAAATTGTATGATAAGCTTATCATACCGCATGTCAGTGGCACTTCGACGTGGTGTAATGGTTAGCACATTTGTCTTGCTTGAACGTTTATGACTGAGTAGTGAGTTTAATCCTCCTGAATACCCCATGTGCCGTATCTAAGCGAAAAAAATCAGCATACCGTTTGTCGGTTCTTTGAATTTGACTAAAAGCGATTTCCTCAGAATTTTATTGTCAATATCTTTAAAGAAGAAAGAGAAAAAATTCTGTTAAAGAAATATCCAGCTTTGGATGATTATGAAATGCTTCTTTTATATGTCATATCTTTTGAGAACTTGGGTTGACACGGGTCTCCATATCTTCCTATATTTTGTTTCTTGCTACTTTACCACAATGCTTTGTCGTCGTGATCATTATTCTACCTTCCATTTGCCGAATTTGGGTAATGACTTTCCTATTTTCAAAGATTTGGTTATTGTTCCAATGATCTGATTTAAATGGAAAGCCTTAAAGACGAAGCTGGTTGAATTTAGGCGAGGCAGTAAAATATTATAAATTAACAATTTTGAGTCACAAGGATTTGAGGATTTCCATTTAATCAGATCTTTGGAACAAGAGAAAAGTCTTTGGAAATAGGAAAGTCATTACCCAAATTCTTTCCCTTGCTTCTCATGCTTACGTTTTGTGCTGTGAGTGTTAAATTCGCTAAGCATTCTGTTGTGGATTCCGAGATTAAATTCGGTCTCCAATGAATGACAGACGCAAGAAATAAAGATAAGAAATTAAATGTATTTACACAATAATACAATGGGTAATTTACACAATAATACAATGGGTAAATCAAAAAACATGGTTAGTTATATATATATATATATATATATATATATATATATATATATATATATATATATATATATATATATATATATATATAGTCTCGAAGTGGGACTTCCTTAGAGTCTACGTGCTTGTAACTGACTTCTACAAGCGGTTACCTCACACTATTACTCTACCTCCAACTCAATCACAATCTCTGCTCACTCTCTCTCTATTCTGGCTGACTCTGGGTATTTAAGGGCAGCAGTCCAAGTAACCCTCTAGTCGAGTCAACTTATATGAAAAAGGGGAGGACCCCATGACACATTCCTTTTTCATTATCTGTTCCAAAAATTTTAACTGTCTTTTCCATATACTAAATGCGAAAGTTAGTATGTCACTGTGTCGCAACTTACTGGGATACTCCTAAATTTCAATAGCTCATTTCAAATGAAATAATTATTGTTCTCAAATTGCAGTGTTTCAAAATAAAATCGTCCGTCTTTTCAACTTTACTCCTAGAGGCTGTAGCCCAACATATCGTGCCATTTTGGAATCAGGTCGTCCTCTTGAGCAAATTAAAAACATTCCAAGTTGGATCCGGGACCGCAATCTTGAAAATTTTGGATTCGCAAGTTTTTATTACTGCGATTGGTTTCGGCGATTTTTTTACGTGATTTTTTGCCACATTTTTTTTTTTTTTTTTTGTACGATAACAGTTTTTATGGCTTAGAAATAAATTCGTGAATAATCGAAATTACTTGCGAAATCCAGCGAAAGTCACCCATGAAATAAAAAATAATTGTTTGGACGGAAAGTAAGGA